GGCCAAAGACTCGGGGCCATGCCCCAAAAAGGTGGTACAGAGAGAGATACAACCCTTAGCAGAGACTCTACCTTAGGGTCTGCAGATTCCATCGCTTAAAAATGACGCAAAAAGCAGGCTACCGTATGCAAAATTAAACCGCAAAATATGAAAAATAAATGGAACGAGCTCACCGGAGAAAAGTTCGAAATATCCGGCGCTGAGATTGTTCCAGAGTCGGGTTCACCAATTTAGGGAGTAGCCTGTACCGGGAGCCCGGAACGATTCGAAAAGACAGATCGAGTTGCAGGGAAACTTTTATTGGTACAGTCAAAGATTCCCTGTTATCTAGCTATAAAGGAACGACACCGTTGACACTCTAGCTAGGGGAACAGAGCATGCACAGCACACAGGGTAGCCGCGAGTTGCAACCGTAACGAGCGGCAAACAAAAATGGCGATGAACAAGTCAAGCATTCGGACTCAGTAATCAGTTCAACAAACCACACTGGTTGCCTAGGTGTACAATGAAATAATTTTAGTTAGAATTTTACACAGGCAAACCGGGGAATCTCCAGACTGCTACAGTTGTCCCCTAAGACAAACTGCCCACCTCAGCCTATGCAACCGAGTAGTATCTCGCCTACTGATGAATCATGGACTTACAACTACAACCATTCACACACCCTCTTGTTGCTACGATGCTGTTCACTCAATGGTTCAAGCTTTGCGTCAACGAGATGCTTCCACCTGGTTTCTCCGGTGTCACTATCAGGAAGCTTACCAGATTGGGGAACATCCTTATAGATACGCCAAATTCGCGACCCCGACTACTTCGTGTAGTCCTCTCAACCCCGGAGGAACTCAAATCGTTAATACTCTTTCAATTCAAACTCAAGGGTAGTAATGTCAGTGTCCAGCCGGACCTCCCACTGGCAGATCGACTGAAGTTAAATGAAGCCAACAAAAGCCTCAAGAGCAGGCGGGCGGCTGGTGAGCAAGTCCTTCGTCTTGTAGGTTTTCATGTGGTCAACCGGCAGTCAAATTCTGCCCTACTAGAACCCCGCCTCGTAGCGTACGACCCAGGGCTGGTCGTGCCGAGTTCCTTCGGGTAGTGCATAGTAGTGTGCGTAGCCTAAGGAACAAGATACACGAGGTGGGTCTACTTGTAGACAAATCTCGTCCCGACATACTTGCTATCACCGAAACGCGGCTGTCCCCGGATATCACGGACAGTGATGTATGTTTACCTGACTACGCACTGCTAAGATGTGATCGCTCCGTTGGCCGCCAACGTGAGGGCGTCGCACTTTATGTGAGTTGTAAACTTGATGCGTTGAGGACCTGTGTATTCCAGTCGCCGGATCAAACTGTTGAAGCCCTGTTGACTATTGCGTGCACGTCCCCTGCTCAGTTTACAGTTGTATTGGCATATCGAAGTTCTGGAAGTATCTCCAGAGAGGTTATTGAATTTACCCGTACTCAGGCTGCCAATAGGTGTCTAATACTGGGTGACTCCAACCTCCCTGAAGTCTGCTGGTCTGATCTATCTTGGTTCGGCGGTGGGCATTTTCGGTTCGGATCTCCTCGAGCTAACATTGCAACTGCCATTGCGTCATTTCGTGGACCTCCCGACTAGATATATGAACAACCAAATTCCGTCTACCTTGGATCTCATTTTTGCGAAGTCACACGATTTCATAAGTGATATTACGTAAGGCTGTCCTCTTGGAGCCAGTGACCATGTCTACATATCTTTTCGATGTGCTCTAAGTATGTGTCATCAAACTACCGCTGAGGCATGTCCAAATATTTGGCGGACAGACTTTAACGCAATGCGAGACAAAGCTTCAGTTCTGTGTTGCGCGATCACCGGGGCTGACACAGTTGAGGCAGCCTGGGGGAAATTTAAGGCATACCTCACTGAGATCTCTGCTCCCCACACCCCACTCATTAAGAGACGGTTGACACGGGCGCAGCCTCCTTGGATACATCATGCAGGTAACTACCTGCCCAGGAAGCACTCTAAGTGCTGGCGAACTTACTAGCTTACGAAAGCTATCGAGCTTTTAGAAATAGATGTAAGCAACACCTTAGAACTCTTCATCTTCAGTACGAGGAGGATTTGGCTAACGCAGCCGCACCTTACGTAAAGAAACGCAGCGGTGCAAACTCGTCTATATCGACTTTACTACGAGCGGACGGGACCCATGGGTATACCGACTATTATAAGGCTTGTATACTCAGCGAACAGTATACTGGTTTTTTCTCGTGAGGCATCTACCTAGTTACAAAAGTCCCGGAGAATTCTAGCCTAACTGAAATCAGCATAACGGAGACACAAGTCTTCAGGCTATTGCAAGGGCTAAATCCTTCCAAAGCTTCTGGCCCTGATTCGATTCATCCGAAGCTGATGCATGAATTGGCCGCTGAGCTAAGTGGCCCTCTGACATGCATGTTTACAATATCGCTCGACAGCTGTGACTTACCTACGGAATGGTAGAAGGCAGTAATCTGTCCGATTTTTAAGGGCGGTGACAGAGCTCTGCCCGCGAACTAGCTTGACAAGCGTAGTAGTTAAGTTGTTTGAAAACTTGGTCAAGGATTCGATGGAGAATCACCTGATTAAGTTTAACCTTCTCATTATGGCACACCACGGATTCCGCAAGGGATTTTCATGTCTGACAAATTTACTTGTAGCCCGTGAAAGCTGGGCTGAAGCAGTAGACAACGGTCACGCCATCGACGTGCCTTTCGTTGACTTCTCGAAAGCCTTTGATACTGTCCCACATCAACGACTCATTGAAGTTGGGATCGTATGCGATATCTGGAGCCGCCCTTAAACGGGGCTCTGTTTTCCTAAAGGGGAGAGAACAGTGTGTACGAGTGGGACGTAGCCTTTCGCTTAGACAAGCTGTTCTTAGTGGCGTTCCTCAGGGCTCGGTTCTAAGGCCTTTGCTTTTCGAAATTTATGTCAATGACCTACCCCAGGAGCTTGGAGTACCGTCGCTATTGTTTGCTGATGACCTCAAGCTCTGGAATATTGTAGATATCCCTGGTGGCTCTGAGGCACTTCAGAGTGCCTTGGATAGGCTCTGGGATTGGTCAACCTTATGGTTGATGCCTATAAATCAGGCGAAATGTTCTGTCCTCCGCATTGGAGGTGCTAGTCCTCCCACGCGCTATGTAGTTGGTGGAAGTGAACTCCCTGTTGTCACTCAGCAGGTTGATCTAGGTATCACCCATACCTCATTGCTTCACTCTGGGGACAATTGGAGGAAGGCTGCTTGTAGAGGGTTCCGTATGATGTGGTTTATTCGCCGCTCCTTCGGTGTCCTAACGGCCAATATCTTTGTGAAGCTGTTCTCAGCTTTTGTGCGACCCCACTTAGAGTACTGTATCCAGGCTTGTCCACCTTGTCTTGTAAGGGACAAAATGGAACTGGAGAGGGTTTTGCGAGTGGGTACAAGGTTAGTGCAAGGATTACGGGGGCAAACGTATCCCGAACGTTTGCTTAGCTTGGGTATGTACTCAATGCACTACCGCAGAATTAGAGGAGACTTGATCCTCACTTACCGTATCTTAACGGGTGAGATCGGTCCAGACTTGTCCTGGCTATTTAGTCCCGCTAAGCTGCCTAGTCTCCGTGGTCATCCGTTAAAGCTGCACAAATTACGTTCTGACATGGTAAGGACGGAAACTCTCTTGTCGCGCCGAGTTATTGAACGTTGGAACTCGCTTCCGGAGCACGTGGTTAGGGAGTCTACGGTTGTGGGTTTCGAGCGTCAGTTAGATGCTCTTGGATGGCAGTATCACACCTTCCCCTTCTCCTAACTGACTTGTATCTTCATCTTTCCCTTCGTTTTTTACATTTCTTCCCACACCTTGGTATTATCATTATTTAGCTGACATTCCTCTTGTTTTCTTAACTTACCCTTCACTCTTTTACTTCACATAAACCGGCTTGGCAGGGACCGCTGGGAAGGAAAATGTGGGCATTAATTGGTTGAATAGGGTGTGATGCGGTCTCTGTTTTAGGCTTTTCAACATCTCAAGCAGACTTATCCATTCCCGATCCTTCGATACGCAAAAGAAGGAACATTCACAGGATTATCCTATCGTTCCGGTCCCAATTGAACTTGAACTTGTTACTATGTCCTGAGTGTGCTGTCTTAGCTACCCCTCCGGCTTCAGTTTTGCAACCGTAGACGTCCTGTCGAGAGCTCTCGAACGCTTCTACCGTATGAGCGCGCGGCCGACTTGGATTATGATAACGATATCGTATTACTTTTCGACGATCTGGAACGTCTGTAACTCATTTTAAACTGCACGGTGGTTGGAGCATCTTAGCATGTGCTTCGTCCCATCGAAGTATAAAGTTCTGTTCTAGGGACCAGCCCTCTCCTCTGCACATTCATAACATGCATGACAGTGCGCTATATCGCTGTCGCAGTTAGATATCAGTTATGGCGGTCCGCTGCCGTCGCCCACGGCTCAGTGTTATAAGTCGATGGTTCGCAAGGGTAGAATCGTGGGTTCGAAACCCGCAGGATTCGTCGGGTGCGTGCCACCGACGCGTCTCAATAAAACGAAACAGCCTTCTAGCGCTTTCCTGGATGTGTGGTGGCTGTGTGTCGGAGTATAACTGCGACGAATATTCGCAGAAAACCAATAAATTCCCCTTCTGCTCACAAATAACCCGCAACCTATTAGCTGTGAATCTCTGGATTGATTCTATCGATTACGTTGTCCATTTACCACTCTTTTTATCGTTTTACACTCGTCTCAACATTTGTTATTGAGTTCTGTCATAACGCCCTATCTCATTGAATTGTCTCCTTTCTATTAAGTATGTGTCTCATCTAGTCTCATTACTTTGTCTTCGACTTACCAAATATCGCAGGTTCGGAACTCTGTTCGTCGTTGGTTACCGAGTTCAGCTTAAATTTTGTGCGTTCATTCGTTTAAGAGGTTTTTCATGCTTTTCTATTTCTTTCTTCTTTTTTTCACACTCGAATTGCAGTACTGTTGTACGTTCATCGTCACCACATTATCTTGTGGATAGGATGGATGCCATGGAAAAATCCCATAGTTTGGAAACATCCGTGATTTCCTCTTTGTTTAACTTGCGTCAACTCATGTGGACAGAAGTGTCCTCAGTCGTGTCTAGTATGTGCAATTGCCTCTCGGTTATTTGCCATTTTTAGGCATAAGAGAACAATTCGAGAGTTCCAACAAAGGTAAGTTTTTTCCTTGGCATCATTGTTCCCATAGAACACGTATCGGAGATTGAAAGTGTTACGGATCAAAATCGTTCTCTAAAAAAGTGAACCATTTTCCCATCGTCCTTACTTTGCAGGACATTGAATCAGCTGAACGAAATCATTAGAGGAAAAGAAATAGAAATCCATGGATTACGTATGATGCACTATCTCTTTGGTGTTACCCTTTCAGGTCGACAGCTTCGAACCTTCTATGCAAGGAGACCAATTTGTTTTGTTTGTGGTAGCAAGATTGCGGATATAACCGGCGCATTTTGCCGGAAGGATATGCAGCCGGTCGTTCCCACACAATGTCCACGAAATCAACGCAATTCGTTTTTCCGCAATCTATCGGACCGTTTTGAAGTCCGTAAGCGCTTTCGTCCTAATGTGAGTGTTGCAGTAACTTTGTACTCCACTGAACCGAAATGCGCACTTTAGTCAACCCCTAGCCTTGCATCGTAGCGGTCTGTTCATGTGTACTCTCGGTGACCATAATTTCTGCTCCAACAATGGTTATCCACGCTAGAACTCTATCCCGTCCCGTCGATGGTTGTTGGTTGGTTTAAGGATCGTACAATGGACTTTCTTCAAACAATTTCTTGATCTTCTCGGCGTCGCAAATGAGAATCAACGGCGCTCTATCTGCTGCATCGGGCTAGAGGTATAGACGTGGAAATATTGATGCTCAGGCCTTCCTGCCTTCCTGTTCTTTCTCTTAAACTTGTTACTCCTTATTTTAATCCCCATCTTTAAAGCCCCCGATTCCCTCCCTTCTCTTGCTTCGATGCTCGTTTGTCCTCTAGTTTCGACTCACGTAGTTTTGGAGCATCACTCCTGACCTATCACCACTTCGATGTCTAATCAAGGAGACGACCTCAGTTCTTCCGTTTCTGTTTAGAGCCTTCCATATATGTATATATATATATATATATATATATATATATATATATATATATATATATATTCACCCACTGCCTTGTGCGTAAGACTATTGAGCCAAAGGCTCCGGGTGGAGTCCCTCAAGCAAACCTCCGAAGCACAACGACCACCTCGCGTGCGATTACCCACCAATGCAATCTTATGCCTGCGCGCAAAGCACTCAGCATCGGATGCTGGAACGTGCGCACACTACTGGACCGGAACTCGAATGAGCGCCCTGTGAGACGCACTGCACTGGTCGCGATTGAGCTGACGCGTTACCACATCAATATTGCGGCGCTGAATGAAATTCGGCTCGCTGAGCAAGATAAGTTGCATGAAGCAGGTGCTGACTACACATTCTACTGGGTGGGAAACGTCGCCTCTGCTCCACGTGAACATGGGATCGGATTTACAATATCCGACCGCCTCCATGGCCAGCTGGTGGGTGCACCAACAGGCATCAGCGCGCGACTGATGACTGTACGCCTACGACTCGGAAGAGGAACGTTTGCCACTTTTATAAACACATACGGTCCGACCATGTGTTATCCTGATGACACGCGTGATCAATTCTACACTGAGCTATCCTCCGTGATACGGTCTGTGCCGAGGAGCGACCGACTATTTATGCTGGACGATTTCAACGCGCGCGTTGGGCCTGATGCATCGGTGTGGGCAGACGTTATCGGTACGCATGGCATTGGTTCAGCTAATGCGAACGGTGACAGGCTGCTCTCACCGTGTGCCACTCACAGCCTGAGGATCACGAACACTCGGTTTGCACTGAGTGCGAGTGATATAGCAACTTGGACGCACCCACGGAGTGGTCACGCTCACCTGCTCGACTATGTCATCGTACGTCAGCGTGATATGCGTGAAGTGCGCATGACACGTGTACTGCGTGGAGCTGAGTGTGGCACTGATCACAAATTGGTGCGCACCAAGCTGTACATATATTTTCGTAAATTTATGTATTGCACTCCCGCCGTGAATCGGCGTAAATTTAACATTCTCTCCCTCGGTACTAGAGCGAAACGTACTGAGCTGGAGAAGGCGATGGCTGCACGCCTGTGTGGTGATGTGGACTGTATAGCCACAGTGGGCGACCTGTGGCACCACATTCGCGACCAGGTGACAGCTGCTGCCGAGGAGACCATCGGGCGCGCAAACTGTAAGCGACCTGATTGGTTTGGTGAGAACAATGCGACGATTGGCGCATTGGTGTGGGAGAAAAATGCAGCATTTGCTGCACATCTTGCAGACTCCAGTGACTTGAGTAAGAAGAGTCAGTTTCGCAAACTTCGACGGCGACTGACCCGAGAGCTTCATCGCATTAAAAATGCATGGTGGACGGAGAAGGCGAAGCAGAATGCTGCGCCGAACGCCGCCAACACGAGAAATTCTTTGACTCCTTGAAGGCGGTGTATGGACCGAGATTGGAGCCGCTGAGGACGCTGATCGATGGTAGTTCAGGCGCTACCTGCACCCAGACTGCAGACATAATGCAGATCTGGTGGAAACACTTCGACTGTCTCTTGAATAACCGTTCAGAGATTGACTGGCCTACCTTGAACGGCCTCAAGCAGCACGATGTGAAGATGAGTCTGGCGGATACACCGACACCGGATGAGACGCAGAGAGCACTTGCTCAGCTGCGAAACGGCAAGTGTGCTGTGGCCGACGGGATCCCACCTGAAGTATTGAAACACGGCGGATCCGCGTTGTTGACTGCGCTGCATCACTTGGTGCAACGCGTATGGACTGAGGAGGAGGTGCCTACTGAGCTGAAGGATGTTCTCATGCTACCACTGTACTAGGGCAAAGGTAGCAAGCAATCTTGCACCCTACGAGTTTACTTACCACAGCCGCTGCCAGGGATATTTCCAGTTTCGAATGCCCAACATGTCACCGTACGTTTTCGACTAAAAATGGTCTGTCTCAGCATTGGAGACATCAGCATCCTGTCAGTTACAATGCAGACTGTCTAGCCCGACTACCGAGGCAGTCTTACAACTGGTCAGCCAGGGATGACAAATCCCTACTTTTAGCAGCCTCACGTTTTGCGGTTACGTCTCCTTCCTTAAATATCCTTTTAGAACGACTGAGGCGCGTCTTCCCCTTTCGCACCAGGGACGGTATCAGAAAACGCTTGCAACGGCTTAGATGTTTCTTTCATCAACACCACACAACGTCCACTTCCAGTGCATTTCCGCAACCGTCGACTGAAACCAAACATTCAACCACGCCTCCAGATGGAACCGTACGAGCGTCACCCTTCTCAACCATAACGTCCGATGAATTCCATCGACCTCAGCCCACATTAACTACTAACTTGGGTGTGTCTGCACAAACCCCTCGAGAATCGTACGAAGGCAATCCTGCGGTGACCACCGCCTCCTCCTACGCTGATTTGCGTTTCAATGTACCATCCTCCACTGCCTCGATAGATTATTCAACCTCGCCTCACTCATCTGCAGCGTTAGTTCCAGAGGCAACAGTATGCCCTCAGGAGCAGTCGTCTACCGTAAGTCTAGCGAAACTTCGGGTGGTATTATATCCCCCTCCGTCCACTACGTGCCCCACGGCCATTGCGGTACAGGATCAACCAGAAGTTTCCAATTCTAATTACGAAGCTTCCATTGCGTCCGCGCTAACACCAGTATACCCCACTCTGCTGCTAGCTGCCCAACAGCTTCTTTGCAACTGCGCCTGTCCTGCTAAGGAGGAACACCGCATACTTCGGAATCTGGTGAATTCATTCGCTACTGTTGGATCGAGAATAGCATTTAGTGAGGCCCTAAACGATGTGTGTGCTACTCTCTTTCCACACAGATGGAGGCCTTCGAAAAAACGTGTACATACCGTTAAGGTTCGAAACAATCAGCACCGGCGACGCCTACAATATGGCCATATTCAACGTCTTTATCATACCCGCCGGAAAGACACTGCAAGTACGGTGATTGACGGAAGATGGCGCACTGCCTTTCTTAATGAGGACGAGAACATTTCAGGTTTCACGGAATATTGGAAGAATATCCTCTCCAGACTTTCTGCTAACGATGAGCGCGCACCGCATCGATTCCTTCCAGCTAATGATGACTTGGTGAAGCCAATTGTCCTGGAGGAGATGCAAAGTGTTCTCAAACAGATGCGGGGTTCGGCTCCCGGTGTAGACCGCATCAAGCCAGCCGATATTTCAAGGATGGATCCCTACTTTGTAACTTCTTTTCTCAACTGTCTTCTTGCTTCCTACCCATTTCCCATCCACATGAACACTGCTCGGATCACCTTTGTACCAAAAGTTTCCCAGCCCATATCCCCTGACCAATTCCGTCCAATCGCAGTTTCATCTGTCTTCACACGCCTTCTTCATCGTATCCTCTTTGATCGTTGGGTTCCGACTTTCCCTACCGACCGCCTTCAATTTGTTTTTTTCTCGTAAAGATGGCGCTTTCGAAGCCCCGTCCATACTCCATGCTGCTCTTCGCCATTCTCATTCTTTTTGTACCCCCCTTTCATTTGCGGCAGTGGATATCTCGAAGGCGTTCGATTCCATTTCTCATCACTCCTTACTTCGAGCAGCAGCTGCTTTCGGAGCCCCCCCGCTATTATTAGATTACTTGGCATCGTATTACAGCTCCGCGTCCTCAATCTTTAATGATGTCAAGCTTCATCCTGATAGAGAGGTCCGGCAAGGAGATTCGCTTTCGCCTTTGCTCTTCATAATGTCCCTAGATGACGTTTTACGCGGAGTCGCCACTTCGCCTTGGATATCACCGGCTGGCCCGATTGATTACCTCGCTTACGCGGACGACTTGATCATCTTTGCTCAAGACCGCATTTCTCTGGGAGATCACCTTCAGCGATTCCATCAACGACTGCAGTGCGTCGGTCTCAACATCAACCATCTAAAATCTTTCTCGGTAAATATAATTGTTGATGGCGCTCGCAAACGAACCATACTGGCTACGAATGCTTTGGACTGTGGCCCTATTCTTATTCCCTCCATTCAGCCCGATGAAAAGTTCAAGATGTTGGGCCTGCCTTTTAACTGGAAGGGTAAGCTCCCTCTAACAGTAATCGACGATATTACTGTGCAACTTAACGAAGTTACCAAGGTACCGCTTAAACCACAACAACGACTTGAGATTCTGAGGATCTATCTGCTCCCCAAGCATGTTCATCAGTTAGCTCTGGCAGTGGTTCACCGGAATACATTGAAGCGGTTGGATCGCATTGTCAGATCACACGTCAGAAAATGGCTGCGCTTGCCGTCAGACACCTCCATTACATATCTTCACGCTCCCATTGCGAACTTTGATTTGGGTATTCCGTGACTGTCAACGAGTATTCCCCTGCTACGGAGGGAGAGGCTGGAGCGACACCTAGCCAACTGCCATCCATTGACCAGTTGGTCGATCCGGGACACTGCAGCAGCTGCCATCCATCGTCTAGCGCGCTCCACT